TACGTGACAGAAAAGCGTTACAATTTTAAAGCGAAATTCTTCGGCTTTCATGCTCATATTTGGGACAAAATAATACCTGAAATACACATGAGATAGTAAGCATAGTAAAGCTTGGGTTAAACGGAATGTTACCCTTTGCTATACAAATAATGAGAGCAACACAAACTTGCTTACCTCGATGGTCGCAGATTGCCTGGACATTGATTGAATGAAATCCTTTCCGGTTCACGAAGTCCGGCTCGTTTTCGTGAGGGGCCTTTATTCTGACATGAGTACCGTCGATGCACCCGATAGCACAGGGAAAACCACCTACTCTGAACAAACCTTGCTTTATTTCGTCTCGTTCTGCACGAGTGCACGGAAATTTTATGAAGTCGCCTAACTTTGCAGTCAAGGCTTTTGTCACCCGGCGAACTATCCGGCTGACAGTCGACTTGTCAAATCCCTGAAAAGTGTCACCTATTACTTGAAGAAACGAACCCGAAGCTAAGAATCTGAGGGTGATAAGGACTTGCATTCTAGCAGGAACAGCACGGTTGCGATTTGTTTGGGGAGCGATATCGTCTGCAACAAGGCCAACGATGTACTGTAGCGCCTCTCGTCCAAAACGATACCTGGATCTCAATTCAGCGTCTGTATATGTTTCAAACGGATCGAGTTGGCGGCGATAAATTCTCCTTTTTCTTCGATGTTGATTGTCGAGAAGGTTACAGCGAAGAAGTTGTAACTGTCGAGCAGCCATTTTATTTGTGTTTATCCGGTGGATAAAACTTATACTACCTACCTAACCATGGATAAATTTATCCACTGGATAGCGAGTGGATAGCGCTATCCATGCTTTCAACAACCGATATGACGCCATGGATAAAATTTATCCACTGGATAGCGATTTATCCAGCGGATAAGAAGTTATCCATGCTTTGAACAACCGGGGCCTGTTGTTTCTCACCTTTGCCGTGAACACGACTCAAGTCAGGGTTTCGAGTCTTTGTTTCCTCGACAGCTTTCGGCCACAAATCTTGCATTTGCAGTACGTTCGATTCGTCTCGATCATTTCTACGTAGAGTCAGAGTTCACATCATTATTTGGGGCATCTTCAGAACATGGATTTAAGGTAAAACCATCGTCGACATCGTCTATCAGTCAACCCTTGAGCGTTCTCTTAACACTGCAATCATTTGAGCCAGCGGATTCTCTTTACGAACCAATGACAATTCCCAAAATATCCACGTGATCTTACCCGTGATTGGAAACAAAGGAAATTCCATTTGGCGCTCATCTTTGAATGTACTTTTTATCCGTTGATCGCTCGTGCGTTAAGTTATTTCTTTTCTCAACTGTTTTGCTTAATATGACATCTCTAAAGATGGGTTTTACAGTTGTTCAATGGGAAAACGAGAATAGTGTGTGTTGTTATGAGAAGCAAGTCGTTGGCGCCGTGAAGTTAAAAGAAGGGACAACTGGCCGCTACAAGGGTCGAGCGGCCAATTTATAAAGCTATGGATTCTGAAAGTTTGTGGTGAGTACAAATTGTGATATTTGGTACGTGATTAAACCTGAGAATCGAATCGGTCACTTGCATGCCACAGTTTTTTWAGCTTACGCTTTACAATGAAATAAATCTATCAGTGAGCTAAAGGTTTCGGGATTATTTTGGTCACGTTTGGCAAGCTGTGAGCCCAGCAGAAAAAGACAAACAGCTGCTTAGTCTGCAGTTTGGGATAACTTCATTGAACTAATTATTACAGTTACAACAAGAATTTAATCAAAAAATCAATTATTTAACTGTAATTAAGCCCTTCTCTCCCAAGAGTGTTCAGTCAAAACTGAGAAGAAATCTCTGTATTTCAACTTGCAGAATCTACAGAAACAGCAGAGCATGAAGATGCTGCTTGACAGCTTACATTTGAATTTTAACACACAAGAGTTTTATCCAAAGAAGTTACAACCACATTAAATTAAGTCAACTAAGAACTCAATTAAGATACAAGCCTGACTCCGGGAGGAAAGGATAAAATATCATTTGTATCATCATCCCAAATGAAATGATTCCTTAAATACTATTTTTTGCCTAACAGTTATTAGTATTTATTGCACTAAACATAACCCAAGTTATTGCATTTCATGAGAAAGAATCAACAGATTTTATTCACAATTTGTGTCAAACCAAATTTACTGATTCACTAGGACTATTTTAAATGAAAAGCTAGAATTGAGTTTTTAAGAAAAACAAAAGAAATTTCATCCTAATATTACTACATGTTGATGTTAATATAATATACAACAGCAAAATAATAACATGTGAACCTGAGTTATAATAATATTAATAATACATAGCTTATATAGCGCAACGATTCTCAAAGATCCAGCGGCACTTTTCAATAATAGTGAAAGAAAAATGTAGTCAATTAATAATTAAAGTGGAATAGAAGAATAGTGAAAAATCAATGAAAGCAAAAACTACAACTGCCTAAATAAATGGGTTTTAAGTTTAGACTTAAATGTTGTCAAAAGGTCCACTTCTCAAATATCATCCAGCAAGGCGTTCTACAGAGTAGGAGCTCCATGAGAGAACGCTCTATATTCATATGTTTTAAGATTGCATTTTGGTATCATTAAGAGTTTTTTCTTTGAAGATCTTAGGTTTCTATTAGGAATGTACGGTCTTAACAGTTCACTAAGATACAGAGGACTCAGACCATTTAATACTTTAAAACGAGAAGAAGTGTCTTAAAATCAATATGGGCAGACACAGGCAGCCAATGAAGGCTTCTAAGTGTAGGCGTAATGTGATCATATCTGCTGGTGGCTGTGAGCAGGCGGGCAGCTGAATGTTGTACATGTTGTATAGTCTATTAATTTGTGACTGCTGTAGGCCAGATAGAAGAACGTTACAATAATCCAACTTTGACGAAATAAGGGCATAAATAAGTATTTCACACTGACGGTGCATGTAAATAAATTTCATTGACAACTTGAATTTTTAGTTGGGAGTTAATTCATGTATTTATTTGATATTAGTTGCCTTGAAGTTTTCCTAAAGTTCCCAGTAATTCTTAAACATTGCTAGAAATTCCTAGGAATTTCCAGCAAGTTTTTAGATTCACAGTATTTCAGGGAAGTCATTGGTGCTCTGAGTTGGAATTCCTAAGAATTTGTAGGAATATTCCATGGAATTCTCAGGAATTCCTTGAAATTCCAAGTCCTATTGGCTATAAACATGGAGTTTTTAGGAATTCCTAGGTTTTTTGGGAAATTTCTAGGTTATTTTGGGAATTTCTAGGTTTTTTCGGAAATTCCAAGATCCAGTTTGCAAGGAAAGTACACTTTAAGTATACTGCCATTCATTCATAATATCTTGAATATATTCTAAGTAGACTGTACTGGTCAGTTTTCCACTAGTGGTTTTACTCGTGAGGTATATGCTCGAAGTGCACTGCAAAATTTTCAGTACCTTTCAAGTATACTTTAGGGTGTTCGAATTTCAGGTTGGACCAAGTATATTACAAGTATACTTTTAGTAGCTCTGTAAACTATACTTCAAGTCTACTGAAAGTATACTTTGTGTATCTTTTGTGCAGTACACTTTGATTACAGAAGTAGTATACTAAAAGTGTACTTAATTTTGGTAAGGGCTAGCTTCCACAGATACATCCATCAGTTGAGTGATAATTTATTTGTAGTAATATGAACCAAAGCTATCTTGCAATAAAATTTAAAGTATTTGTTACGGTTATGATTTGGAAAAGTTCTGTGTTTTGCAGATGAACCATATAGAAATTGATACCCCATTCTGACCCATTCTTTGTTAGGGAGATGATGATACTTTGTGTGGGCATATGGATGCATAATCATCCTCTAGATTTCAGCCTGACTTCGGGAGGAGACAAATCGTTACGCTCTTTGTAAACTGGACTTAAATGAGTAGGCGAGTTAAAAACTGGACATCAACTTGTAAATGTTAATGCACGTCTCCTTTAACCAGAAAAGAGCACCTCTAAATCTTTAGATGTCAAATTACAGCTTGCGAAAAATTAAAAAAGTCCTTCCTCTCCCGTACGTTTAACTAATTAAAGCGAAGTAGAACCCTCCAAACCTGACGTTTCGCTTTTGCGCGAATGTAATAATGGTTATGAGATTTTTTTAACTTAGTGTTACGATATGTAAATGTTGCTCGTAGGCGTAGGTGTTAACTCCCTAAAGTCGTGCATAAGCTCGTGATATGTTAATTAGTTGATCGTGTATTTGAAAGGAACTCGGTATTTGCATGTTACTCTCTTCCTTCGGGTTTCTGCTTTAGCTGTTGAATAAAGACTTCAAACACCTGGATGAAGCCTTGGACGTAAGCAATAGGTATTTTTCAGGTCTCCTTGTGACACAGTAAACTCTGCAGAAAAGTGCAGGGTTTGGTACAAATGAACATGATTTTTATTTATTTGTAATTTAACGAGGTGATCGTTTAATATAGGCGCATAGAAAAAGAATCAGAGACCTGTAACGTCCAAAGCAGGACCAAATACGTCTGATTTAGGTGATATTTCACAAAAATTTAATATTTTTTTTTAAGTTTAAATATATTTGGGAGGTCAGTGTAGGGGATTTGATCATTGACTACTTCTTAAAGAGCGTGTGATATGGACTGAAATTGGAGTTATTGTTCATCTCCATGTGATTGGTGAATTTTGTTTAATTTGATTGATTAAAGATCCGAAAACTGCGCGCGCAACCTCAATTACCTGCGCTTATTTGATTAGCTTCTGTGACGTCATTGATACAGACACAATTGAAACAGACACGCCTTTTCCGCCATCTGCGACCATGCCTTTTGTCACACTGTGGCAGGCACTTTTCGCTGTTAGAGAGATCAGAAGACGTTTGGTAAGGAAAGAAGACGTAGGAAATGTTCAATCAAGCGACGGAGTTGAAAAGGTATATCTCAATTTAGCATATCAGAGGTTTCGAAAAGTAAAAAAGCACACCAAAATCACCGTGGACCCCAGCAGTGCGGTAGCCGTTGAAAACGCCTTTTTTTTTTTCTCTCTTCAGAACAAGTGTGTCCTATTCGCGATTGGTTTAAGTTTTGAATCTGATTGGTTAAAAAAAGTGGCGCATGTTTCTGGAACAAGCACATAGCATAGTTAAGTGAAGCCAAAGTAATATCGCATTACATTTCTTTAATCTTACCGGCTTGGTTTGAATTCTCGGAATGGGACAGAGGATAGCCAGTATTGAAGACACCTTGCGTAGTACGAGTTAACAAGTCGCTTGCAGGATCGGAAACAGTATTCCTCAGCGTTTAACAAATAAGATCTAAGGCATCGTATTTATAAAAAAGGCTCCTTAGGAACTAAAAATCTCCACCTTTAAAATGGTGTAAGTTGGAGAGAAAAGATCAATCAAGACCACCAGCATTTGTGCGCGCTTGAAGTTATCTAGCTGGCGCAAAATATCACTAGAATAGCTTTGAGACCCCAACCCAATTTCTGAATGTTCTGAGAATCTTCAGTCTCGTTTGAAAGACTTCGGTGGCAAGCCAAGGCATTCTCGCGTATAAAATTGCTATTTTTTTTTTAATTGGAAAACATTATCTTCTACTTTGATCCCAGTCTGTGAACTTAAAGCGTTGAGAACTGTTCTGGTGAACAGGTTTGCTAGGTTTCAAGTCAATCATGACTCCCAACACTTGGGGTGAGAAAGATTCTCAGATTTTTTTCTTTTTTTATTTTTCATCGCACTGTTTGATATCGGAAAAATCAGTATGACTCAATTGTTTCCGCGTCCTACACAGGTGGTTCTGGTGGATGACGCCAAAAGTAGGGACGACAAAGATGTGAAATACAGCAGTGACAAGACTCACCCAGTACAATCAATTGAGAGCACTTCTGTGGAAAGGGAGTGTAATAAGTGTAATCATGAGGGATATTGGGAAGCAAATGACAGCAAAGAGGTATTATCAAGTTTGACACTCTTCTACTTTTGAGGAATAATTACCTTCCATTTGCCTGTTAGGGACTGGACATAGAATCCCCCCGCTCTTTTTCTCATCGCAGTGTTCCATTTACTACCGAGTACTGTAATGAAAAAAAGGACATTGGCGCTTCTTATAACTCTGAGGTGCGCCACAATTTAAGACTAAGGTATCACTGTGTTTGACACTATTCTGCTTTTCAAGAAAAATGTAGTTTAGCATCCGTTTTGGTTTTGGAGAGTAGATGTAGAAAATACGGAATACTCTAACATAATGAACTGCAACGTTGTTCTCTTCTGTAGAGAAGGACGTTGGCGTTCCTGGAACTCTGAGGAGTGCGAGGATATAGGTCAAAGCACGTTGGTAGAGTTCTGTTTAATACTCTTTCAGTCTTCAAGAAAGGCTGATTAAGCCTCCATTTGGTTTTTAGGGAATGGCTGTGAAAAAAATGGAGTATTTTGAACAAGAGAGGAACGTTGTCATTTCCTGTAGCTCTGATGAGTGCAAGAATCTCAGTCAAAACACAATGGTATGTTTGTGTTTTATACTTTTCACTCTTCCGTGATAAAAGTAGATTAAGATTAAGCCTCTATTCGGTTTTTAGGGAATGGATGTAGAACAAGGAGAGTGCTCTCAGGGTACGTCAACCTTGTTCTGTTCTTTACTAAAGAAGAGAAGAACGTTGAAGTTCCCTGAGACACTGAGGAGTGCGTTAATATTGATCAAAACTCAATAGTATGTTTGCGTTTTATACTCTCTTAATCTTCAAGAAAGGTAGATTAAGCCTGCATTCGGTTTTTTAGGGAAAGCATGTGGAACAAAGAGAGTGCTCTAACGAACAGGCCAAAGTTGAAGATGGTTGTGACTTTCAAGAGTGCGAGAATACTGGTCAAAACACAATGGTATGTTTGTGTTTTATACTCTTTTACTCTTCAAGAAAGGTAGATTAAGTCTGCATTTGGTTTTTTAGGGAAAGCATGTGGAACAAAGAGTGTGCTCTAACGAACAGGCCAAAGTTGAAGATGGTTGTGACTTTCAAGGGTGCGAGAATACTGGTCAAAACACTATGGTATGTTTGTGTTTTATACTCTTTTACTTTTCAAGAAAGGTAGATTAAGCCTCCATTTGATTTTTAAGGGAAAGCATGTGGAACAAAGAGTGTGCTCTAACGAACAGGCCAAAGTTGGGGATGGTTGTGACTTTGATGGGTGCGAGGATACTGGTCAAAACACCATGGTATGTTTGCGTTTTATACTCTTTTACTCTTCAACAAAGGTAGATTAAGCTTGCATTTGGTTTTTTAGGGAAAGCATGTAGAACAAAGAGGGTGCTCTAAAGAACAGGCCAATGATGAAGTTCGTTGTGACTCTGAGGAGTGCGAAAATATAAGTCAAAACACAATGGTATGTTTTTGTTTTATACTCTTTTACTTTTCAAGAAACGTAGATTAAGCCTCCACTTGATTTTTAAGGGAAAGCATGTGGAACAAAGAGTGTGCTCTAACGAACAGGCCAAAGTTGGGGATGGTTGTGACTTTGATGGGTGCGAGAATACCGGTCAAAA